TAACCATATTTGCAACAACAGGTGACAAAGGTGAACCCATGGGGGTCCCAAATATTTGCTTGTATATTTTTTGTCATAAAAGTGGTGTAATTTATGGAACTCTTTATATACTTTGATAAGCCCATAAGCCCTAGGCAATTTTCCGTCAGAAGTATACAGTCTTTTATAAGTATCTTGATCAATAAATTTTTTGGTTTTTTATTTTGTTAGTAATGTGCGAATTTTCGTCGCCATTTTTTTAGTATGAATTTTTTTTATAGTTATGTATGTGTCTTGATCTGATAAAATTTCTTGCATTTTTTCGTTATAATCATTTAAATCTAATAAATCTATCATGGCGGTATTGCCTTGATCGGCCCTGGTGATTAGATTAATGTTGGGATGGTCAGACATGAAATTATTCAATGCTTTTAAACCCTCCTTAATTAATTTATTATCTGTATTGTTTGTTATCTTGTGAGGATTGTGATGCCAGTTACGTTGGCCAAACTAAAAGACAATTAAAGACCAGATTGCATGAATATGTTTCTGATCTAATATAAGTTCAAAATCTCCATCAGTGATTTCCAACCATCGTATTGAGGAGAATCATAACTTTAAATGGGATAAAGTGGAAATATTAGATGTAGAGCCTTTATATAATAAAAGGTTGATATCTGAAATCCATATTAAAAAAACAGAAGCATGGGATTAATACACAAAATGACACGGAGTCTTTGTCGGATTTGTATTCTGACATTATACATTCTCTTTCTCCTTTCTAACATCTTCTTTCCTTTTCCCCCTATTTTTCCGTTTTCCGTTCTCGATAATGTTTTTCTGCTTGACATTTCGTTTTTTGACATCGTGTAAGTTAGATGCTTGTTACCTTTGCGAATTTGCTTATAATAACTTATAAAATAAAAAGACTATTTTATTGTACCACGAAATGGACTACATTTTACATTTTTTTCTCGTTGAGTATTATTGGACTCTTAACAGATTTACTAAGGTACATTATCATATTACTAATTTTTATGTGATTAATATTAATTATTTTGTTTACGGTTACTTTTCCAAAATTTTCTTATGATTTTGTTAATTCTTGATAAAAATGACTCGCAGCGTATTACACAGAAAGAAAAAATTTTATATTAAGGAATTGTAAGAACATTGTAAGATTATGTACGAATTTTTAATTTAGAACGATGTTTATATTATTGTAAGATTGCATTGAAAATGACTCGATTGGAGTTGAAACGTTTGTTTTATTTTATTTTAATTGTTTGGTATTAATTTTGCTTATTTAAATTAAAATTCTTTTATACGTTATTGACTCTTTGCCCTTCTTTTATACTACCTTTTGTTTATTAATTTTATAATCAAACTACTGTTTTCTAAACAAAACTAACTTTTTAAGATTTTTATAGAGGGCCACATTATCACCCATGTTTCTCTTCGAGATTCGCCATTATGCAATATTGTTACATTTTTATTAATAGTGTCCTAAGTAATAAATATTTCGTAATTTTGAGTCCAAAATCGATTCAACAATATTTTAATGAATATAATTGTCAAGTTTTAAATTTAAATATTCATTATTAACCAAGTAAACCAAGTTATTGTATAACTGGAGTATCACCTTCTCCTCTACTAAATAGTATTAAAAACACATTTAAAAAAAATAACGTTTCAAACATTTGTTTTAAATTGTTAAAAAAAAAGTATAAGATAGGAAACAAGACCGTTTATGTTAAATAACATTAATTTTAATTTAATATGATGTTTAAAATATGTTTTAAGCGTTTGTTTAAACAAAACAACTGGAGGGAAGCCGACGCGCAGTCGAGTGGGGAAGATTGGTCCGCTCGGGGATTCGCGCATATTTGATTTCGTGTGTTAAAATTGGCTAAATTTATATTTTTTCAACAATAAATTGATGTGGAAACCTGATTTTTTTTTAATCTGGAGTAGCTCGACGAGATATAAATAAATAGTTTAACCAAATATTTCGCAATATAATTGTAATCATGTAATTGTAATCACTCAAACGTGATTTTTTAATAATAAACCGAAAAAACAAAAATACAAGAAAAAAAAATTTTCTAAAAATTTCATGGTTACAATTCGAGATTTTTTTAACAGCAAATTCAATTCTTCCAAATTGGTGCCAGGACGGAACTCTTAATCTTAAAAACTAGAGCCACAGTGATTTTTTGAAAAAGAATTATTATCTCGGCTCCTAATAATCGAAGAATAATCTTTTTTTTTTAAATTCGTAGGAAAATGTCAGATTTCGAATGCTTCACACGCTATTTGATATGATGCATATTAACGAAATTATTTCCATTTTTTTATATGAAAAGATACTCACTTTTTAAAATCGTTTTATAGTAATTTAACTGCAAAAAATCGTTTTATTAAGTGTACGTGATAGTGCAACTCTTGAAGAAATAAAATCCCTGTAAATTGCTGTGCGACTGCTCAAAGATGAAGAAATTAAGTTTTCTGCAGACTGGTTTTTAGTGAATAAATTAGTGAATAAGCTTTTTGCAAAAATTAATGAACATTTCAGACTTGTTCAGGGCTAGATTTGTTCATCATTACTACAGGGGGAGGGCTACATTTTATGAGAATTTCAAAGTTTTACGTTTAAATCTCAATGAACACAGAGCAAGTGAAAAAAAGGCTTTTTTCAGTGCTTTTTAATTTTTTTTCTACTGAACTAATAGATCGATTTTAATATTCCATGTCTCATTTTGTAGGTATTTCGAATATATACATTTTATGAAGGAGAGGTATACTATATAACGTATATGAAAAATCGTAAACAATTAAATATTTCATAAACTATTGCGTTTTAATATGATTTATACTATTTTGGATTAATGAGAAGGATACACTATTCTTACAATTTATTAAAATTTATATGTTATTTAGAATGCCCCCCGGCTCTTATTGATGCTTAGGGCCGTCGAGCAGTCGAGATTGCCGAGAAAGTATTTTCGCTTGAAACAAGTGATTAGTGTGAGAAGGAGTCGTTGTCTCGTTCACTCTCGGCGCGCAGGCGAGCACACGGACATGAGCTTGTGCTTAATTGTGTGGCTACCGTTTCGCCAGACCGCCGTCTGATTCTGTGTCGCTACCGTCAATGCAGAGTTCTTGGTTGAGTAATCAGGAGCCTTAAGTAATTCGGAATAGAGAAAGTGATGACTTACTTGAAGCGTTTTATCGCTTAAGTAATTCGGAACAGAGAAAGAGGTGAATTACTTAAAGTGTTTTACTGCTTAAGTAATTCGGAACAGAGAAAGAAGTGAATTACTTGAAGCGTTTTATCGCTTAAGTAATTCGGAGCAGAGGAAGAGGTGAATTATTTGAAGTGTTTTATCGCTTAAATAATCCGGGATAGAGAAAGAGGTGAATTACTTGAAGCGTTTTACCGCTTAAGTAATTCGGAGTAGAGAAAAGATAGGCAGTGCGTCTATGATTAAAGAAAGAATAGTTCGAGGAGGAATAAGAGAGCGAAAGAATATTGATGGTCATACAGCCTTGAAATTAAAGTAACATGAGAAAGAGAAAAAAAGAATTTGTTCTTACTGTTTGTTGGAAACGTTTAGTGGCGAACGTTAGCGGAAGTCCTCGGTGATGTCTCAGTGATGGCTCTTAACTTGAGATGAAAGATCGTCAACGTGGACTGTTGATTTTGCTTGGATTGCACTGAGCTGAGAACCCCGCACTTGGAATAGTTAAACTTGTCGACTGATTTTGAATGTCACTTATGACTGCTCGAAAGATTTTTTTTTAATTGACTGCGCTTTTCCGGGCACACACACACACACACACACACACACACACACACACACACACATATACAGTAAATCAAGTAAGATCGTGATCGGCCTTACTCAAAGCTAATAAAAGATATCGTCCTAAATCTATCATAAATCCGTAGAGGGCATCTTTGTCCTTGATGCACTATCAAGGAAGATTCAGTTGTTATTGAACTTTCTTAAGAGAATCACATTAAGCGCCATGAGTATCAAATACGCATCATGCTATGAAGCTGTGTTCCTCTGCACTCACCCAAAAATGTCACAATTAGTGGCTGCTAAATATATGAAAAAATCATTCGTACAGAAGTGCAGCGATATAATGTGACAAAAAATGTCGATGATTTACCGGAACGTGGCTCGATATGCAAAGTGGACAAAAAAGACGATAAAAAAATAGTGAATCTGTTTTCGCGGAATTTTGGCTTAACACTGTCAAGGACAAACAAAATTGAAGCAGAAAGGTTTAGATATATCGTACAAAACTATTCGAACCTATCTCAAGGCTAATAATATGAAATGGTGCAACATCACGCTGGTCGACCATGCTCTTACTTGACTTACTATACATGTGATGTAATTCGGTACTTGGACTTTGGATGGGTGATTCATCTCTTTTTCCAAAGGTTTCCCAATTATTTCGAAAGAAAAGAGTGATTAATGTGTTTTCGTTTTATATGTGAGTCAGAAAAAAGCTTATCTGTGAGTCATAGGACCAATACACGTGTTTTCAATCGAACGCTAATAATTATTTTCCTTTAATTGATGTCTAATCATTTATAATAATCAAAACTCAATATTCGATCCGCCATCTTACTGACCCCGTTATTCTCATTTGAGAGAAAAACAGATTTTCTCCATGAAAGAAAATAATCGTGGAGTCGTCAAGACGTAATAATCGTTAAGTTTAATTAATAAAAATCACTTTGGCCTTAAATTATCCAATTGGGATGTCTCATATAATTTTATAACTTTTTAGAAAATTTCTCAGATTTTTTTTATACAAATTCTAAAATATAAATTTACATATACGAAAATTTTTGAGGAAAATATAGATACTTTCAGTATTTCTAAAAAAGTATTTAATTTGTCTAAAAATTCTGAAAAAAATTTTCACCAGGGCTTTATTGTTTCAATTTTAATTTTATCGGTTATAAATAATTAATTTTATGATTTTAGATTAATGGATTATCAAAACAGTACACCTCCAAATTTTCAGACATTGAAAAAATGTTATTATTGGAACTCATTGAAGATGTAAGAAACATTGTGGAGAGTACAAAAATTGATGATCCAAGTTTAGAAAGAAAGAAGACAACTTGGGATCTTATTAAAGAGCAATATGCGAATAATGCAACAAACAATGGTTTTCCTCTAAGAGCATGTGCACAATTAAAAAGATGCTGAGTGAATTTAAAATATAGGTATTTTATGAATATATTAATATATTCCAGTAGTAGATATATTAAGTCAGAAGAAAAGTTCTACGGATTTTTATAGAAACTTCAAGTTTTAAAATCTTTTTTTTTTTTAATTTAAATTTTGTTTATTTTTAACTAAGTTATTGTATATATATAATTTTAAGCTAACAAAATCCAGCAGAACTTTTCCTCCAATCCAATATATAAAGAATTAATTAAAAAATTATCTCTAAGAAGTTCATTTGGAATAAATTAGAATATTACTAAAATGAATATATGAGCTAAATTATTTTATTTAATATAATATCTTATAGGATCGTATATATGATAACACAAACTATAGAACAATGTTTTAAACGATCTGGATCTTAAATGCTTGTATAATTCTGTGTGAATTTATATACTATGTATGTAGTCCTTTGAAATGCGCGAAGTGATTTTTTGGCCTTGAAACGTCGTTTAAATAGATAACGTTTGTTCCTCCATATGACCATCCTGTATATAATACTATATATGAAACATTTTTACATAACAGATGCAGACGATCAGATTCAGAAAAGAAACAGCATCAATTACAAACTGGTGGTGGTCCACCAATAATAACTGATGATGATGAAGAAGACATGCACGAAAAAGTTCACAGTATTGTTCCAACAATTGATTTTATGATGAAAAATTAATGGGATAGTACATATGAAATCGAAAGTAATATTGATTTCCTTTTTCTATTTCTGTTTCATTTCTATTTTTTACTAATGCATTTTTTTCTAAATTTGGAAAAAATATGATAATTCAGAAAACATGAAAGATACGGAACATATATTTAGAGGAGAAGAGATGAGAAATAAGCTAAATTTTAATCAAGATAAAAAAGAAAACTACAATGATAATAATGAAAATTGCCTTTTGCTGCTGATTTAAATGCCACTGCTGGTTTAAGTAAGAAAAATTTATTTTGTTTTTAGTATGGATTATGATCATTAGAAGGGAAAATTTTTTTATAAAATATGTTTAACCATAAATAATGCTAGGAGTGGAATTGAAAAAATGCCAGAAAGTATTGATATTTCCTTGAACAAACATTTTTCTAATAATAAGTCTAGTGCAATTGGTAAGTAGGATAGACCGGGGATAGCTGACTACAAGCATGATCTAATAATGAATGTTCTATTAAATAATTTTCAATCCAAGAGCAATAAATTCATGACAGAATCAATAAATAGCGTTTATTGATTTAACAGAAACGCTGCTATCTCATATTAGGTGTCTATCTCATAATGGAGACTTTCCGCTATATATACAATATATATATGTAATATTATTGTATTAATAATATTATACAATAACATTACTTTAAATACGAAGCGTCACTACGATCTGTAGAAAAACGAGTATCGTATGCCGCAGGTCTATGTTAAGTATAAATTATTACAATTTGAAAAATGAAATAAAATTAAGTGAAAATTTTTTACCGAAAAGAGTAATTCTAACTGTGATTGTGACGTGAAAAATATTGCAAAAAACTGTAATAAACTTATTGCGAAAAATATTGCCTTGGCCGGGAGTCGAACCTGGATCTCTTGCATTCCGTGTGAGCGTTTTAAGCCTTTAGACTACCGAGTCTCACAATTATGAAATGTTCCAAAACGTAGAATATTTTCAGCGAAATTTTTTTCATCAGAGAATTATTATAAATATTTTATATATTACAAATATCATAAATATATTATAAATATTTTAATTCTTTACCTCACACTTTCTTTAAAAAATAAATTTTCTAAATGTTCAGCCGTTATATTTTGTAATCTCATTAGTCACCACGTTTTATTTTATTCTCGCATTTCCCGCTCAGTCACGAATAGTCATGAAGAATTCAATTTCATGATTAGACACTAGCACTGAAATTTTGGTTGGAGATTTTAGATTGGAGATCTGAGATTTGAGATTTGAAATCAATCTTGAGATTTGAGAAACGATTATGAATTCGGACCCTAGTGTTTCTGAATGCTAGTGAAAGAAGTGATCAGGGCCTCTACTTCTCCCTGGACGAATTTAGTTGCAAATTCGAGTCGCACCAATAAGCACGCGTGATCGCTTTTGTTAATATTCGATAGTTATATTATTATTAGCGTTAGGATGAATTAGCTAAGAGAATGGAGATGTCCATGAAATGCACATTCGAATGAGATTAATTGAATGTATATTTAATAATAATTTATACACTAATTAATGCCTTAATAACTAATCTTACACGAGAGAGAGAGAGAGAGAGAGGACGGATTTAATTCTAAGTTAATTAAAAGTTACAATTTATGAATTAAGACTTATGATTTAGAAATTGAATTAATGCTTTGGATTTAAAATTAGGATCGGAATTCTTAGATTTAGAAATTGAAATGCGAGAAAATCGCGTTCAGACTTATCGCGTTCGCACGCGGCGTTTAAAATCTAGAGTGGCGATTGGTCAGACAACGGAAAGAGCTGGTATTTCGTGTTCTGGACGACGCGCATTACTACTTTACCTTTTCTCTACGTTTGTCCGTGGGCGTTCCTAAACACCATTTTTCATTGACCACCCCGTCAGCGATGAGTTTCAGGGAGAAGCGTCAGATGAGTCTCTAGGAACTTGGTGCCCGCATGTATTACTCAGGCATGTTAGTGAGTCTGTTCAAAAATAATTATTGGACAAAAAAAATGAAATTGTTGCGGACGTGACAGATGCAGTTTGCCACTCTCTCCCTGTGAGGATGCCGTCTCATGACTCACACGGAATCGGAATGACGGATTTCTTACTAGAAATCAATTCATTAACATTCCATTCCGTAAGAAGTTTCTCTACTGTATCGGAACCATCGGAATCATGGCCGGAACGATATAGAAACGATACGGAATCAATGGAATGTTATGTCGATTGCAGGCTATGTCGATTCGGCTAGTGTTGATGGTTGAGAATTTGACAACTTCGAAGAAGGAAATTAATAATAATTCTTATTTTCCAATATGACATATTTTTGTTTTATACATACATAGTCCAATTATAATGCCAGCAATTCGTTAATAATTCCAATGTCATTCTGAAATAATTGAAGAACTTTTCACATTCGGTCGTTTGCATTTCAAAGACTAAATTGTCACTTGTGCCTTGGTATGCCGCCTTATTCTTTGTGTAAATATTGAATTTTCGTTTTCTTTTATATTTCTGCTGTTGCAATAAAACGTTATAAGCGAAATAAAATTTTTGCACACTTTTGAATATTAGAATAGCATGCCATCATTTCTTGCCTTTCGCAATAATTTTAATATTAGTAATAACATTACTTCTTGATCCATCGTTGTAGATTTACAAAGAAAGTTTCTGAATATTCATTTCAATTTTTAGATTTAATTAACTCAGCTGAACATGCCATTTCGTTCCGTAAAAATTTTCTCTGCCCGTCTCATGCCGGAATGCAATGGAATTTTAGTAACAAAATATATCTCACTCTTATAATTTAGTATTTTTGAGTATTCAAAGTAATGTTATAGGTAAGATAATTGCACAAATTATGAATTACTGTTTTAGTCACATTAAAATAACAAAGTATCGATTAAATTAAATAAATTAACTTGCGACCGAGGCGACATTTCGTCTGTTTTCACTCCGTTCCGGCTACATGGGACGGCTAGAGAAACTTCTTACGGAACGGAATTGTAGTGATCTCAAAATTTCTAGTAACAAAATCCGTTCTGTTGTTCCGATTCCGTATACATGGAATGGTACCTCTAAGCCGCACGAACCAGTGACAAATTCACATTACTTTTTAATAGAATTTCAAGCACTTTTTAATAGAATTAATTGATTTAAATGTAATTATTAAGTAAATCCATTGAAAAAACGAGAATGTTGATGAAATGTGCATAGAAATAAGATAATATATTGGGTCATCTAAAAAGTATCCGCGGTACTTTGTCACTAGATATATGACCATCAACACACATCTAGTGACAAAAAACCGCGCATACTTTTTAGATGACTCAATATTTAAAAAATTCATATTAAAGTTTATTTGTGCCATGCCGTTTATCGCGCTACATGTAACAGAAGGGAAAAGAAGCAAATGGCACGGTTTGCACGGTTTCTATAGTTAGTTTTCTATACCGCATACCGTGTAATCGCACCTTGAGGCCGCCGTCCCACGAGCGAAAATTTACAGCAGAACGTAACAGTGCGACCAATCATACTCTGCAGTCATTACTCTGCTTTCTTTTTTGCGATTGTGATTGATCTCGCTGTCCTGTTCCGCTGTAAATTTCTACTTGGAACATCCTCAAGATTCAATTAGACTAGGGAATTTTTTGAAATGTATCAATGAGTACCACTGGTCGGTCGGATTGAAAATCCGACGATTTGTCGTAAACAAATAGCGCTATTCGGAATAAAGCAGAAAAACGCTGATTGGTTGCTTCTATGACGCATTTTCTATTCCGCAATTGTTTTTCGCATCATGTGATTTCACCCTAAATTATGTTTGTGTATAGACTGTAATTCTAGACCGAGCATTGCCAGAAATTCGAGGAGTGGGAGTAGCCTTCATTTAGAAAAGGACGCATTCATGGTCGATAGAGTACTATAAGGCTGAGTTTTCACTTGACGCTACGACACTCATTTTCAGCGTCAAAACAGGTCACGTGATCAAAATTGAATATCAAGCTGGTTCTACATTAGTTACAAGCCGATCGCAAGTTTGTTGCAACAGCCAATATAAAGCGATTTCAAAATGCAAACTTTAGATTGGCTATCGCAACAAACTTGCGATCGGCTTACAACTAATGTAGAACCGGCTTTAACCGGCAAATTTGAGTATATGGCCTGTTTTGACGCTGAAATTGAGCGTCGTAGCGTCAAATGAAAACCCAGCCTAATAGGGTGCGTTCTGAATTACGCTCGTGTATCGTTTTATTCTTCTTTATTATTTGATGAATTACAAAGATAAATAATGCATCATGCGCTTCATGCGTAATTTGGAATGCACTTTAAAGCCTGTTCTACATTAGTTACAAGTCGATCGCAAGTTTGTTGCGACAGCCAATATAAAGCGATTTCAAAATGCAAACTTTAGATTGGCTATCGCAACAAACTTGCGATCGGCTTACAACTAATGTAGAACCGGCTTCAAGCGTCAATTTTGATTATATGACCTGTTTTGACGCTGAAATTGAGCGTCGTAGCGTCAAGTGAAAACCCAGCCTAATAGGGTTCTGAATTACGCGCGTGTATCGTTTTATTCTTCTTTATTATTTGATGAATTACAAAGATAAATAATGCAACATGCGCTTCATGCGTAATTTGGAATGCACTTTAAAGCCTTTTCTACATTAGTTGCAAGCTGATCGTAAGTTTATTGCGACAGACAATTTAAAACTTGCATTTTGAACTCAATGTTTTATATTAAATCAGTTCTACATTAGTTGCAAGCTGATTGCAAGTTTGTTGCGACAGCCAATATGAAACTTGCATTTTGAACTCAATGTTTTATATTAAATCAGTTCTACATTAGTTGCAAGCTGATTGCAAGTTTGTTGCGACAGCCAATATGAAACTTGCATTTTGAACTCAATGTTTTATATTAAATCAGTTCTACATTAGTTGCAAGCTAATTGCAAGTTTGTTGCGACAGCCAATATGAAGCGTTGATTTTAAATTTAAAGTACAGATTGGCTGGCGCAACAAATTTA